CACCCTATTTTCTAGGGCATACGTCACATTTATCAGCGTACTGGCATAGATGCACGTGACAACGCGTACAAAAATTTTCTCGTTTCATCAACTGCTTTTCTAACCTTTTGTCTGTTTTCACTCATTAACTAGTCTCCGAGGCGAAGGTGGTGCAGCGGCGAGTGGCGTGCTTGTCACGCACACGGTTCGGGGATCAAATCCCGTATGCTCCCGCCCCGGCCAAGCAAGCTTTCTTACCCTCCAGGGACGGTAAATTGGTACCGGATTCGTCTGGAAGCATAAGAACACGATAGCGTAATTCTTTGTGTGAGGCCATGCTGCCACTCAAAGAGCCGCTACGATTCTGAACGGAAATGGAAATGCGTTGCCGCATCTTAACAAAAGCGACTTGCGGTCAACGCGCAGACTTTAGCCTTTGATTTCTGGATTGATTTCGTTACACGGGAATGGGTCATTTGGGTCTCACACGAAATGGGTCTCACACGAAATGGTTGATGAAAATAACCAAAAAGTACTCGAAAAAAAGCACTGCACCGTCGAAAGGCACTGTCTGCCATCAGGTAGATCGCCGGATAGGAATCTGAAAATTCGGACATCCGGGAAGGGAGATGTGGGTCTGCCTTGAACACGTTTTACTGATTTCTCAAGCGAAAATTGTTTATCGGCTTTCATCAGCAAAAAATTGTAGGGAGCGGCTTCGCTTAGCCAGTATGAGTCGTTGACGCCTCCTTTTTTCACTGAATCTGCCTCGACTCGCCTTCTGCCCTCCCTTTCGGTAGGAAAAAACGGAGGGCTGCAGGACGAAAAAGTATGAATATGGCCACTTGTACGGTCGCAGATTTCGTATAGGGGATTAGCTGGGTGGACGAGGGCGCCGTATTAGACGGGGTCAATTGGGAACTCAAAAATTGGGATTGGGGCTCTATCCGTTGGCATCTTTTTCTCTGCTTTTTTTTTCTTTACTACTGAGTCACTCAGAACCTTGTCAGTTATATGCAAACCTTCAATCCCTTACCTCCGATGGTGAATGATCGCGGACTCCGCCTTTGAGGTGCGAAGGGAAATCTGCGCCCTTCTACGGGTGCATCCTCTACCCCAGAAAATGCGGTAAAATGTTTCCTTTCATACGGTTGTTTGTAGCCTTTTGAAACCGTGCGTTGAAAAAGTCTCTGCCCTTTTGAGTCATACAGTTGGAGCATTTGCTTAGACCAATAGCGCCTATTGTAATAAAGTGATTCACATGACTGGAGTGATTTACACGATTTAGGCCCATCGAAGGAGCAGTGTAACTGAAGGCGGTGTCTTGGCCCCTCCGCGTGAACGCGGAGCGTGGTGACGATGACACGACCCGAGAGAGATCATGACCGCCCACCTCATTTCTATACGTCTTCATTTTCCTCATTCTTTCACTTTCTTCAGAGGAAATTCAGCGGACTTGCGAATTTATTCTTCTATCCCTCCTCTTCGTTAAGGATACACCAAGCTTATTAACATGAACGTAATGGAGCTCAAAAGCAAGGGGCACGATAGTTTAGTTTTCAGACGTGAAATGGAAAGGTAGAGAAAAACTGTAGAGTTTGAAGAGTTGATGAAAGACGACGCGGAGCTACCAATAACACCCCTGTTTTTTCAGCTAAGAAGCGGGAAGCATAATACGCCGATGATATTACAGTTCACCGCTAGTCAACGATTATTGCGATAGAATCACGACTGTTACACCTCTGTAGAGTATTGTCGCTGCGGACGCCGGGGCGTTCCATGAGGCTGAGTATGGCGCGGCGGCAACCCTACTATAAACCAGTTACGATCGTCTGCCAGATTCCACAACGATCGACGGGGTGCTTGAGGAGAGGGCTGGCTCCGCGCAACACAGTCCATAAAACCACCAACTCCGCAGCGAACACTGTGCGGCGATGGGCAATGTGTAAAATTGCGATGTCAAACTCCCCTTCCTCCACCCGAAGCTCCTCTTCGGGCACGGCCCCCTTTCACTACCTGCCTATCACTTACTCGAATCCTTCCAACTCTCTACTAATTTTCCAGAAAATTCCCAAGAAAACTGCCATCGGGCTAATGGGAGATGCTCGACGGCGGTTGTATTGTGGTTTGCGCGACTCAGCTAAAGAGGGGGGGGGGAGATGGAAGATGGAAGAGTTTTACTGGCAACTCAGAAGTAATTCCTTCAAGGCCAAAAATGACCCTAGGAATCAAGTAGCCTCCCGACGGGCTTGGCATAACGCTGCCAAACCTTCGAGTGAGGGGCGAATCTGTGGAAAGACCTAGGTTCCAGTAGCCAACCTTGCACAAGATCAAAGTAGTCCGCGCTATACGTGGAAATTATATACAGGGGGGGCCAAAAAAAAGTCATTTTGCCTCCATGACTTTCAAGGCGCTATAAGTTACACTTTATTAAATTTTTATCGGACATTTTTACTACCATATTAAAGAGCACATTAAATACTATAATGATACTCCGCCACAGCCTTCTGGAGGAGCGCCATCGAGAGATTCGGCCGCGCGAAAGTGAGTGGGTACCGGAGTTGAGCGAGGTAGTCGATTTCTCCGCCACCGTAGACCACCCTATCGAACTCCGCCTCGAACCAGGTAATTGAGGGGATTCAGGTCAGGGGGCATACTTCAATATTGCATCTTCTTCAGGTACGAAGCGCCCTTTCATTCGAAGTAGGAGAGAGTTTTTCCAAAACCCTTCGATTCCATGTGGTGGCACCAAAACCTGTAGCAGTACACGGTCTCCAAGAAGGTACGAGCGACAACATGTGGGGAGGATATTCTTCTCGAGTGTTACTTGATGTAACCGCCAGCGCTCACCTTCAGTCGGGGTCTACAAAGAAAATATCGGTCTTCCCCTTTCCAGGTACCCCGGTCCATACCATCAACTCGCGCCTCGGCGAATACGGTGAAGATGATGTCCTAGAAAAAGAAGCAATCGTAGCGCGTTGCCGTAGCTGGTCGATGTGGGAGGTCTTGCAGATCAAGAGTACTGACCTCCAGGTAGCTATCTGTGGATGACTTCATTCAAGAAGTTTCGCAGCTGTTTGGAGGCGACGTGAATTCCAAAGGTGTTCTCCAGTCAGCGCGACTGGAGATGACCTTCTATTGTTGGTCCGACATGAGGCGATTGTGCAGGCGGCAGCGTGCTCCAGCTTATAGAGGAAGATCTTGGGTATCTTCCACTCTGGTACTCATATCCACTTCCCCTGTCTGGGCTGCGAAAACTTCGTTGATATGTGGCTCGGCCGAAATGACTTTTTTTGGCCCCCCTGTACATTCAATTCAATTGACAATCTCCATGTGGAGCGCTTGGCCGAAAGACTGTTAGCGATACAACAGGCAGAATATTACCAAAAAAAAGTATGGAACTCCAAAAAGAGGCCCTGCTTCCAGCCAGAATAAATGTTCGCAATATGCTTACTCTTGAGGCAGTTGGCACGATAAATCCCCCAGGACGAGTAGATTTAATACGCCTGCAGGAGAGGATTCCGGCAAACTCTGAAGGCAGGCGGTGCGTAGCACCTTTTCCAAGAGAGGTGTCTTCATAAGGGCCTTATCAAAGCCACAACTATACCGACCCAAAGCTCGCCCACGCGCGCCCGCCTCAAACAGAGGGACTGTTCCTGAGGCTCGTATTGATTCATTTCCTACGCAAATTGTGAAACGAAGGGATTTTTATAAGCGGTCGTGATGCTGCATGAATATATGAGCACACATATGCAGCTGAATCTTCGATAGCGGTTATTGTCAAGATGCCTATGGTAAACTCGTCCAAAATTGATTTACAAATCATTGAAAACGGAGGCTTTTTCTCCGCAGGATACTGACCGTTTCACTCCGTTCTTTCGCCTTTTCCCCGCTAGATTTCGCCCTACTAGCATTTTGGCCGAGTACCCGAATCATTGTGCCAACTACCTTTAACATCCACCGCACATTGTTGGGTTGCATCAGTGGTTCTCAGCTGTGGCGTTTCCGTCATAGATTGCGTTTTTCCTAAAACGCATTTTCTTACCCGATTCACATTGGCTAGAGCAAGGGAGCCGAAACGCGTACTGGGAACCGTGCTGCTCACGCCACCGCCTCCGACAGCTCAGTGATGAAAGTAAAAAGCTACTTCCGGGCACCAACAACCAATTTCCCCTGTTAGAAGGATCGAGAAGTGAAAAGATCTACTGTCTGACCAACTACTGGTCCAGTGGAGCTTAGATGGAACTGCTGTGACGGTCGCGGGGGGGGGCAAAGGGGGGGGGAAGGAACGTTTAGAAAGCTACGCAGTAGGTCTTGTCTAGCGCACCCTCTGTTGCGAACCGAGCAACATGGCGCCTCATTAGAGGCCCATCATCATTTCCTGTTAGGCATGTGGTTGATAGCGTCACAATCAGTCTGGGCGGTATAAATAGGGATCGATAGACTGAGAGACGGCAGTCTGGTGCCCTACTCGACGGCGTTTTCATCACTAGTTGTCTTCTTCCTGAATCTATCACTAAACAATCAGAAGTGGTTAAATGTGGGCGGGCCCATTTCGCCCCTCATGACTCCGCCCAGATTGATTGCGGCAATATCAGTTAAGTTTATCCTCTGCGCCCAGTCAAATATTGGTGCCTACTTCCTTTAGGACACAAACCCAACGTTTAGAAACCATATATTACTGATATGGTCGAGCCGACCAATCGTCATCATTCTCAGGTTTCTGGAGATGTCATCCCCAATGCGACTGCGATTCACTTTCAAGAACTTCTAATGTTTATAATAATTTATTACACGTCAATGGTTTATTGCACATAGCCCACATTTTTGACATTATTCACATTTTATTACAAAATTCAGACACACCAGTATATCTATCCGCAATTGTTGAGTTGTCTGTGTGAAACCATTCAACAATAGCAAACATTTTTTTCCTTTCACTCGACACGACGGACTTCGGGGAGAACATCCAAATTGCCCAGAGAACCGTACTTCGATGTGGAATGAGGAGGTGCGTTCGCCTAGTCCGCAGAAGGCATGACCTAAACGTGATATGTGTTGCGGCAAGCTAGTCCAAAGGTCTTCAGAAAGCTTATCTGCTAGCTCAAAGAAACAAAACACATCAAAAAATTTGAGCCAACTATAGATCGACCGACGCTGCGGTCACAGCGTGGTGCCCAGCGCAGCAGGCTGCCAGACCAGCCTCGAAAACTCGCCAGACCTTGCGAGTGCTGCGTCGGCTTCCGTGGACGCCGTAGCATTATCTCGAGGTACATATGGCATAGTTAAACATGATGATGTGACATGGGGTGTTCGTAGGCCGGCCCGTCACGAAGGCCTGTCACCTGCATTCGGATGTCCGCGATCAGCTCAGCTCGCATAGCAAGCAGTTTCCAGTGGCACCACGTGGAGGAGCGGACATCGTCACCATCGAAATGTCACTGTCGCAAAAACAAAACCATCGGCGCCCAGCCATACGGTATTCGCACTGTCGCGCGCTACGCCTTGGTCCTACCTCCACAGCACTCTGAACAAGTGGCAAGCTGGTGATAATAAAGAAAATATGACCGTGAGTCACTCGCTACCTACGCAACAAAGAACGCACCAATCTTTGCCAGCGAGTTGACTAGTCTTTTACACTGAGTTCGGCCAATGAGTTAAGGGCTGAATTCACCACATCATCGAACCAATTAGTAACACTACCACTGCTTCTCGACTCAACTGCGAATGTTTGCGAAATGATGAGGCGGAAAGGCCGACTGGACACTGTACGCCTCCTGTGAGTGTGATGTGGATCCAAGATGGCGAGACCGCGCAAGAAATAGCAGTACATTTCTTAGTTTTTTGATTATACATACTGAAGGTCAAATCTACTTTCACTTTGTAACAATTGAGTCCTGGTACGAATGACGCGCGCGTGTCACCGACTGCAAGACATCCAGCGCTTCGCCGCAAAACTGGATCTCCTGCACTGCATCCCACACTGTAGTGATCATCCTTGTAATTTGAGGCCCGATAACTCACGTCTCCTCCACATCTTCGCGAGGCAAAAGCTAGACGTAGTGATAGTGCCAAAACAATTGGAAGCTCACCTTTAGCCTTTCAAAAGCTGCTTTTTCCAGGGTTTGACGCTGTGACGGATGAGCGATTTTGATGAGTTCGTACGCTCTTTGCCGCATATTCTTACCCCATAGTTGAGCAATACCGTATTCCGTGACAACGTAATGTACATGAGATCGGGATGTAACAACACCAGCTCCCTGGAAGCTGAAGCTCTTCAAAAGGTTGAACCATGAAGTAATGAAATGGATAGAAATCTAACAAACCTCCTGTATGTACGGCACAATTTTGCTCTGGCCTTTCTTTGAAATTGACGGAAGGGCGATGATAGGCTTGCCCATGCCGTCGCTGGCTACACTGGCGCCACGAATAAAATCCACCTGGCCACCAAAACCGGACAAAACCGTTTGCCAACTGAGTCGGCCACCACTGAAGAAACCACATTCGTCGTCCATTACTGGGTAACACATCTATCGTGTCGCCTTATGGAAAAGAACATCAGGACCTAAAAGCAAACGATAATGACACTGCAAATACTCACACCTGAGCAGTAGAGATCAACCTCTACGGCTCGAATTGGCTCCGCAACAAACTTTGGATCTAGCCGGATGAAGCAGACATTGGACGCCATTGATACACGCGCAGTTCTATCAGAGGTTTCATCCCAATGTCGTAGCCGTTCTGGAACCGTAACGAAGACGACACCAGTTTTCCTCGGCGCACAGACTTAAAACTTCTACGTAAGGTAGAGGTATACTATGTATTCAGTCACCATGTCATCACCCACCTCTTTCGAACTTCCTACTATGTATGTAGATATTCACATGTTTGTTTATTTATATTCGAGACTATCCACAAAGTTACATTTTATCAGTTGTAATGTACATATATTCATCGACCACAAAAGAAAGGAGACAAAAACCAAAGAACGAAAAATGAAGCAACGTTCAATTAGATACGCAAAACGAAAAGCAGTTGGAACAAGACCGTCAAGAACGTCACAGTTTCGCATGCATTTCTGGAAGCTAGTAAGCGCTGGCTCGTTTGGCACATGATTTTTACCACGATGCGTGGCTAGTCTTCCAGATGCATACCCTTACTGCACTAATTTCACCCTGGTGATGCTCAGTCACGGCAGTCACGCGTAACGCGGAGATATCGCTTCAAGCTGCTGAGATAGGAAGCTCGTTCAGGGATGTACAAAAATAGCTTTTCGCAGAAAATCATATCTTTCTGGTACAGCCTCCAGCCCGATGTAGGTAACTCTATGTTGGCCGCAGCGATACATAGGTATCCTGGCGAAGTTGAGGGACACACATAAAGATGTACCGGACCGCTCGCTGGTCACCCTCAGTTGCCATATTGGGTGGTCCATAGCTTCTACTACCAGTGTTTCACTGCCTCCCGTTGCCCCCTCCCCTCACATTCATCCGTTTTACAACTTAAAGGCAAAATCCGCGCTCATTCGCCATCGCAGATAGTGGATTAGGGGTTTGAATTTAGACCCAAGCGCGCTGAGTAGCTCGATAGTGAACAAAAAAAAAGCAGTAAGAACATGTCACTTTCCTATGATAAAACCCCTTCGATCCATTCGTATTCCCCAGAACTCCACCTGCCAAAACTACTCCCTTCATCCGCACAAGCTGGACTCCCATAAATCTCTCCTACCGGCATAAGGACAAGCTTATCATGCTATATTCGTCTTGCATCGCTTTGTTTGTCACGAAGCTTAGAATGCGAATCTGGACGGTGAGCACTGGAAAAAAGAAGGCGTACACGAGCCAATATGCCTAATATGCGCTCCACTTACAATTTTTTACCGCGAAACGGCTAACAATTTTTTACCGCGAAACCGCTACAAGGTTGTTCGTCGCGGATCACACTAGACTCCCAACGTCATATTTTCAGCTTCTATACCTTATCGCGGACAGTAACTTTATTTCATGTTGCCGCTTATTAGATTCATGTTACTGCTTATTAATTAATTTGTTGCTGCCTATCGGTCATTGTCTCTCATAACTACGTTGTGTGGGCTTCACTAACCGATAATAAATCATAATCACAATCACCTTGCGAAGGTTCCCTGCGCTTCCGTTACGTGGGGTCGTCTCCCACATTCACGGTGAATAAGTCTTACATTGAGCAGGGTCCGGTCTTCGCGATGACGCGTGTCATCGCGAAGTCTGAAGACAGCTTTCTTAAAACTCGAACGCGTTGCGATCACTACGCGCGCAAACTTTTAATATAATGCTGGAAGCTGGAACGAGCTTTTGTTCCCAAAGAAACTTTTTCAAAAAAAGGTATATAACAGATGTGTTAATAAAAAAGGAGTAGAATTGAGGGATCTCAGCAGGCCTGCATTTCTCTTTCACCGTCCTATCACCATGCCCAAACCCAGTTATGAAGAGGTATTTACCTTGTTCTTATTTGTAATAGCATTACAAGCAATAAGATCTAAAACGCCATCCGAAAACATTTCCGTGTGAATACCAAGATCCTTGTGGTTTTTTAAAGCAGCCAAGGCTGCGTCTGGCACGGCTCCGAAACCTGGAGGAATATCAATTGCGAGTTGAAAACTCCTAGTCGTATAAATAGAGAAAGTCAAAGAATCATCAAGCTTTATAACGGCAAAACAAGCCCATTAGACACGCTTACCCATTTGAAGTGTTGAGCCATTGTCCACCAAATTTTCAGCAATAATATTTCCGATCTTCCGTTCTTCTTCGCTGCTGTTTCCAGTAGGCAGTTCATGTAAGGGGAACGAATCGTGCTCTTCGACAAGCACGTCTATGTGCGAAGAGTGGATCAAGCTGTCACCGAATGTTCTCGGCATGTTTTTGTTCACCATGCCTGAAAAAAAGATGTAAGGACAGCGCCTGTAACCAACCAAGGTGCAGGAATCCCCCAGAGTACAAGATGGCAGAGCTTGTGATCAGTGAGATATGGCTTTAAGAAGCGCTCAATAAGAGCGAAGCGACAGCTCAGCAACGATAAGCTGACTCGGCCATCTCACAAGGAAAGGATGGTTGGTCGAAGTGGCCATTTAAGACAAGATGCATACACACTGATGCGTCTTCGGACGCTGATTTCAAATCTGCTTTCCATATCTGCTAAACGATTCTCTGAGCAGAGATATGCAGGAGGTTGTTGTACGGAGCACAATTGAGCTTGGTACACAAATGAGACGTGAGTCGTCACACGAAGTGCATCGGTGGCCTAGTGGGTAGTGTGCCGCGCTCAAGTATGCGAGGTGAGAGGTTCGAATCCCTCCATGATTCGTCATTTTGCATTTTCTCAAAAATGCCTCCTGCACATCCGGAAAGCACTTCTGCGAGGCTAGGAGACCTGATTCTACCAAAAAATTTTATTTCTGATGTGATAGAGCCATTCTGGAACACTCCTAGTGGGAACTCCTGATTGTTGGTTTCGGCGGCATTATTCGTTCCGTCGTGTTGTGAGGCCAAACTGATTCCAGATGGCATGGAAGCCAAAAGTGGATGTCGTGGTTGTTATCAGGACAGTAACCAACAAGGACTAAGATTTAGCGAGGAACCTCCACTGCTCACAGAGATTTGAATCGGCGATAGTGCCAGCAACCTTTAGGAATTGGCTGCTAGATATGGAGGGCAGATTTGTAATCAGCGTCCAAGGGCCCATCGGGCAGTATACGTCTCATTTCGAATGGCCACTTCGACCAACCATCCTTTCCTTGTCAGGCGGAGTCAACATGTTCCATCTCGCTTTAAAAACTGGTGGAACACCTAGCAACACTGTGGAACCCTTAACAACTGATTACAACACCGCGCCAAACTCATCTGCCCGACACGCCCAATCGTCCGCAGCAAACTACACTATAGATTCAGAGAGCTTGCCCAAAGTTTAACCAACTCGTCCATTTTCATTCCTATACATGAGGTCTTTTTAGGGCATTTTTAGCGGTTTCTTTTGCTTTTTTCTTCGTTGGCATTACACTTAGAACTAATAGTTCTAAGCTCTACGATATCTTTATCTTGAAAAGAATTCACGAACTACTTGGGACATCAACAACAGGTTAGTAGCCTCTCGACCTTCCTGCAAGAATAAAAGGATAAAGTCTTCGCCGTTGATCAATCCCTTTGTGGGATGCGGCACGCATTCTACTTCCATTCAGAATCGTAGTGGTATTGCCTATATGACTTGCGGGGGCCAGCCGATGTACAAGTCAGTGTTTTATCCTCCCAGACGAATCTGGTACCAATTTACCGTCCCCGGAGGGTAGAAGGCTTGGTTGGCCTGGGCGGGAGTCGACCCGGGATTTGAAGCCCTGCAAGAATATTCCACATAAATTTCAAAAAATAGAAATCTAATTAAAAACAAGTCTAGAATGTGCAACTCAGGTGGCAGCCTGGAAAAAAATTCATCACTCAACTGTAGGCCAACACGATTTGCGAATAAATAAATGGGTGTGTCCAGAAAGGCTCAACTCACAAAGCGCAAGTAAAGAAATGAGTATATTCGATTTGCAGCTGCTGCCGCCGTAAAACAAGGGGCTGCGGAACGGCAAATAAGTTGAGGAGCACATCCCTTCAAAGGAATGCCATTCATTCTACACAATTCCCTCTTGAAGACAGTCGTTAACATCCTTTCTTTTCAATGTGTAGAAGCGGCCATGCTATCACTATTCTTCCGGATCATCTCACTGTTAATAAAGCTTTATTCTCCAAACGACATTTCTGGATCCGAAACCACACGAAGTTGTGTGCGAAGATGAGTACACTTGGAAAGGCTTTCTCACGACGTGGCTTTGACTGACAACTTTGCCAGAAGTTATAATGGACAAAAGCTTCATTCATCACCCGCATAGTGTTGAAAGATACCCTGTTCCAAAATGGTGCTCCCGCTCCTGCTGGAAGTCTTCGGCTCGTGTGTCAGATTCAACAGCCAAGAATGTTCTCCATGGAATCGTTCGCAATGGCTCCATTAGTTCAGAAACATTACGTCACGACAATATCAAGCACAAGAGTTATGCAAAAACGCCTTCGGGTGCACAGAGACCACTTTCGGAAAAATGCAAAAGAGCACATGCATCAAGGATCCAAACCCTCGACCACGCATCCGAGAGTCCTACGACGTAACTACGCTATTGCGAAAGTCTGCCTGAAGAAAGAGACTCTGATCGACTCCAGGCTGAATACGACCGACTGAAGAACGCTTAACCGTATCTACCAGACGAAGACACTCTTTATGCCGACCTCAAGGATGTCTGGTTGAAATTACATGCTATGATCAAACCTTATATCTGAAATAGAGACTCAAATTGATAACTTCCGTCAGAGGAGAGGGCACTTGGAGGAAACGAAGTTTACGTGGAGACCTTCTGCGAGAGACAACGGGGAAACTACAAGATCAACTCCTCTACTACAGCGCAAGACTCCACGCTCTATACACTCATCTTCACTCATCTTCCGTTAATGACCGCCACAAGACCAATGGAGGAAACGGAATGGGATGCGATGATGAGTCAGCCAGTGCCAAACTTTGAGACTCTGTGAAGACAGAGCCTGCTGAACTCGAGCAGCAAATCCAAGCGCACTTGGAGAAACTAGAAAGTAACTGGAAGCTGGATAAACTGGACGACGAGCTGTTCAAAGAAGATGACAAAGAAATCGAAAAATTTAATAACAGCGCCCTGATAGAACTCCATGTGATTCGCTCAAAGTTAGAATCACTGGAGCTTAGACTACCAACCACTTCTGTGACGAGTGGGGAAGACGACGCTGTCGCATCCTTCGTTCAGGGCTCCAGTTGATACCAACTACCCGAACTACCAAGACTCTGAGCACGGCGAGGATTCGAAGGAACCGTAGGACGCAGTAGAATCATCGGTGACTCAGGGTAATTCATCAGACACTCGAGAAGCAGAGGCGGCTCGTATTCAAGGAAATGCAGAATTCATGGAACCTCTAGAAGACGTTGAGGACGACATCATTAACCCGCAAGACGTAATGATGCTCGTAGAAGAAGACATGGTGGAAGTTGACGACGCCGCAGAAGACGAAGAGAAGCAAGTACGACAAGCCAAAGGGGACTTAAGGATGATGATCAGGCGAGTTGAGACTCAAGAAAGAGAACTAGAGACTCAGGGAAGTAGATTCCGGAGAACATTCGTTTAGAGAAGGAAGAGATATGAAAATGAGAACGAAATGCCTTGCGTTTTCTGCAAGGTAAAAAGGATTCATTATTCCGATAGCTGCCGCACCTTCATGAGTGGTCGTGAGCGGAGGAAATTTTGGCTTAGGAAGACAGATGTTCCGCCTCGTTGGAGTGGTGGTGTGACAGCGGGCATGCCGGAAAAAAGGATGCGAGATGTCCTTACTGCACACAAACGGGACACAACTCGTGTGTCTGTGAATTGCCGGACGAACGGAGGCGAGTAAGCCAGAGACTCGAGAGTCTACGCAGAGACATGGGTAACGCCATGGGTTCACCGCCAAAATCGAGACTCGAGAGACATGGCATCGATAACCCATGAGTTTCTTCTCTAAGGAAGGATTCTCTGAAAAAAGAAAAAAAGACTCATTTCCTTCCTCAGACATCCTTATATCCGGCGAGGGGAGTATCGCGGAAAGTCTAGCGATTCTTTTTCTTCACATTCATACATCATGAAAAGGTATGTGGGCATATGTGTTTGCAGTTGCCTTTTTTTTGCTCTGTATGAAGAGAAAATGTTTGATAAACGCTCCGCTGACGGACGGTTATCGCTTCATCTCAAGCTCTGAAGCCACGCCAGCGACTGCTGTGTAAGAGTCCAACGTATGACTCATTCGCAGCTCCTTCACGCTACTCTCTACAGACTCATTCTTTTCCTTAGTTTTATGATCATGTGACTCGTTAGGATTCTAGTAGGTTTGTTATTAGACGATTAGGCTCTTGAGGTCGATTGATGTTATTTTTCGTTATGGCTTCTTAGTTTAATACCCAAGTTTGAGGCTCTATATCCAGTCGATTGTTGACAATAAAACTCGGTGTGGTGCTGTGTGGTAACATTTTGCTAGACAAGCCCGCGTGGCAGTAGTTGGCTCTATCTGTGATCTTCCATTTTACAATTCCCGCACGAAGAAATGAGTCTGTTACGGAGCTGTCAGCAGGCGTTCCCTATTATGTTCCCTATTATGGCAGAAGCATCCGATGGTTTCACAGCAACGCAAATTTTCCTGCCGTAAACCACGTAATTCAAGTCAATCCCATCTCTCCGTAAGCTTGTATATCACAAAAGTCTGAAGGGTATCTTATTGAGCTAAACTTACTTCGAATCAAGCCATCCTCAAATGTAACGCTCAGACTCTCTTCTTGGTAGCACTCTAAGAGATGTTCAGGTGAACGTTGCCCTCATATGGGTTCTTGCGTTGGACGGAAATGGGGGATATTTCCTCAAACTAGTAGTCGAAGAGCTTGAGGAATCAAATCACTATCCGGGTATAATTCACGGCACGGGATCATGTGATTTTGGGGTTGTGATTGTGGTTTCCCTTCCTCTGGTTGTCTATTTTATCGCATTTATAAAAAATTGATGATAGAGAAATGCACGAAGTCTTCACCTGTCCCACATGGTCGGAATTTGTCAGCCTCACTTAAGGAGTATCCGTCTCTCGAGGGAAAACTCACGCCTTTCAAAAAGATTCCTGTATTTGTGAACCAGCCGAAAATGAGGTCAACTGTTTTTGTAATGATAACAACCCGTTTGATCTCTACACTTTAGACATAATTTTTCCCCTGACATCCCCCAATTTTGTTATCGAAAGTAACTTGAAAAAGAACTATCACCCACAGATCGCTAGCTTGTTAGCGTCTTTAGAAATTTCTCTTCATTTCTCTTTCTTCCAATATAACAAAACATGCATTCAAAACTCGGTGGAATAGATTTCCACGCGCAATATCAGACTCTCGTATTTACGGTTTTTACGGATGTTTCATTTGCCAATCAAGTACAGATGATACTTTAGCGCAAGTGGATTGCAACTCTCACGGTTTCGCAATTCCCTGTGCTCGGAAAGCGTACTTTAGTTCGATTCTCCTTTACGCCTGCCAGTATAGTATAGAGCCAGTATGCACAGCGAGAACAAATGATGGAAGCTGATGAAGCACCGATAACACACGAAAAGGATGACGAACATCAACAATAACATGAATCGTACCGCACGCGGTTGCATATACAAAATTCACAATAACCGCAAACTCAAACTTGATGGTAGCACTTCAAGCATCGTCGCAGACCTATTAGCTCATCTGGACTGTTTCCGGAAAAGGGCGGAAGAAAAGGAGAAATGGTTTTGTGTTCGCAAGAAATCACAAAAAAACAGACTTAGAAAGCAGAAAAGGGCCGCAGCTCGGGAAGGTGGGGGCGACATAAAACGCAGTGAGGACCAGCTATGTGGCTTACTTGATCCGGCCAGCTCGTCTCAACAGTTCAGACGTCGTCGGCGAATTGGTACAGAACACCTCCAAAGAACGATCCTCTTCTCTGGTTTTACTCTTGCCCTCTGTGCTCCAGTTAAGCTGGGTCGAAAGAGGCATGTGCAAGTTTCGTTGCAATTCGAATTCACATCAATACCCAACCGAATGAGACGTTTTTCCCACTCTCACCGACCGTAGTAACCGCATGCTTGAACTCTCGCTATGTTTTCGTTGTTTCCAAGTAAAGGCAGAACCCAGCCACGAAGTCATGTACCGCAGAGTCCAGTGCTTTTACTGTGGGGAGAGCCAGCGCACAAATTAAATGAATAATCATGTTTCTGACCTCTGTCCTTACGTCTTCCCCCAGTAGGCAGATCATTTTTTCCCCATTTTTAGTTGTATGGCACCAAATTACTTTATTTTCTGTCCAAGTTTTTTTGTTCGATTTGCCTTACTTGACGTGTTTTTTTTTCTGGCTGAGTTGTAGGATTATAAAAGCCATTCTCGCACACTTACATTTCACCGGTCTAAGGCGGCCAGAGGGAGCACTCCTCACATCGTCAAATGACGTAATCGTACTTAAACTGCTTGTAAGGGTCAGCTAGAATACCGTTCTCTTGGCAAGCGAAAGAGCACCCTGAGTTCTGCTCTTGGTCCTGGGCGTTTTGGGGTCACTGTGCCTTATAGCATGGGGGTTAAAAAATGAAAAATAAATTGATTTCCTTATTTTGATTGAGCAGTCGAATGGTCGGATGTCAGTAGATCGTACAGTGATCGTACGATCGAGCGACCGATGGTTTTGGGCGCGAACGCCCAAGATATAAAAAGGGGCGGCTCCGCCAAAACGAGGCACTCTGATCTTTTTCTGGACCCTACCACCCCGCCGATACCCACACTCCCCTTCTCGGGGAATCGTCTGTTTCCTAGTTTTTTTACGTTGCGTTGTAGTAGTCTTTTGCTGAATCTAGCACTCAGTTTTTGTTATCCTTTTTGTATGTGCAGTAGTAATAAAGTAGTTTCGACTTGACTGTATACTGAAGTGTTAGTACATAAACTTTTTCATTTTTTTTCTTTTTCATGCCTTCTTATGGTCCATTTAGGCTTTATTATTTTCGTTTAGTTATTTATGATTCATACTGAGTACCTAGGCGGTTGAACCGCGTACAGTACTTATCCAATGCCTGTTGTCTTGGGTAAAACGACTGTAATGGATTGATAAATGAATTGCTGCGAATTGGTCCTTAGTTCTGAATAAAATAGTTGCCTGCTTAGATTATGTAAACTGTAGAAATAACAACACACACTACGCAGCAGTGCGTATGTCAAAAGGGCTCACTCAGCTAAGAAAAATTGTGAAGCTGTTCACTCACTGACCAATGATAGTGTCGGCATTTGCTGCTCCTGCTCTTGTTATATCCACACAAGGGCCTAAAGAACAGTAGCCATGTGCGTCCGGTGGAGAGACCTAAAAACTGCAGCCTGGGAACTGACGCTTGACATTATTGCTGAGTAAGGCTGGGCCAAAAATTGTCTCAGGAAGACTCGAGAGACTCACTTGGATCAGAGCGGTATTGAGCTTGATGGCCCCGCTGCGAAAAAGCAACGGAATTTCCTGTAGAAAACATGAGTTGAAATCGGCAACACCTGACAATAAATGAATCATTTCAAAGAAACAATTCAGTAAGAGCAAATGGTTCCTAAGTGTATGAATACCCATCGTATAGTGCTGCTATAAACATTCCTTCGTATCTCCCCTTATCCATTAATTTACTTATTTCATTATTTGCCACTCGGCTTGAATACCTTAGTTGGGTATTCAAGTATACGAATAAGTTATGCGTGCCGAAGCACGGAATCGAAGTCGTGGCCGTATCTAAGAAGAAGCGCCGACTTGTGACGAAGAGGTGGTAAGGAGTATGGATGCCCACGCACTAAGACCGAGTAAAAAAAGTAAGTACCTCATGTTCGAGCTCTGCCCTCTGCGGGTTGGTCTCAGCACACTACAGACATGCTCAACGCTCGGCAGATGTTCTAATCTCTATCGACTTTTTGGCGATCCTAAACTGTTCCGATGACCGGATCACGGAATTTCGTACGCGTATCCCAAGTACTTCCGCCTTTCGGGTGCTTCTTTTCCAATGCCTTAGTCCATATTCTCCCGTCTCTGGACTGATCTAGAACGCTACCGGCGCCTCCTCTGCCTTCTCAGCTCAATGGCATTTTGTGCCATACCTTACAGCGATGAGCCGGTTAGTCGATATCGGCACTAAACCGCGAAGCTGAAGGCTTTTACATGTTATAAAGTTGTGTTAGTTTTGATAGAAAGGCAGGTAAAAGCTGAAGGTAAAACTTAAATTATGGTTAAGTAACACATGCTGGACTCGTTCAGGTCCTGCGTTGTTTACATATAAAAACGTATAGAGATTTTAATACTAATTGCAATGCAAGAAATGTAGTATACTGTTTAACATGTAATAGATGTGGAATACAATACGTTGCGATAACCACCAGAAAACTCAGAGAAAGGGTATTTGAACATGTTAATAACATCGCTAACCGAAACAAGGAATGTAAAGAGGAATGAATTAAACCGTTCCGGACTCCATTGATTCCAATGGAAGAGTAACATTACTGGAAAAAGAATTATTTTGCTTATGATTCCTTATCCCTTTGGAATGAATGACAATATCAAAGGTCATGGTAATATTTCCACTATAGATTCCCCAGTTATGTTCAAAAATAACCCGTCCTGCTTCTCACTCAAAAGAACCAAAGAAACCAAAGAAAGAAAAAATAGAGGAACTAGAAGGAATAACGAAATAAATAATGGTAAACATAGCCTTGAACAAGCTCTAGAGGAAATAACAGATAATCATGAGCTAGATAAGCCAATACAACACTATAGGTTGCTTAAAAGGCTAAACAAAAAAGATACACATAAAATTTTGAAGTTGTCTCTCGGCAGTGAATTTTCAAAAAATGTTAATGACCGAACAAGGTTCTTGATTTTCTGCTTGCACTTTTTTAATATAATATAGGTGATTTTAAGAAAATACATAAGAAATTTCATAATATACTTGTCAGGGGGGTCCTAGCTGCGACCCCTAAAATCGATAATTATGTGAATGCGCGGCGACCGGCAGGGACCAGCATGTTCCGGCTGTATTTGGGATTTTGATCTACATGATCAATCCAGGGGGCTTACAGCTGTTCGACCCATCCTTTACAGTAATTTTTGAAAAACTGTCCCTCTCATACCCTTTACCACTTCTCGGCGGTGACCCGGTCTTCATTATTGTGTGTGTCCCCCTTTCTGGTCCTTTACCCCTGGCGGCGGTTGACCCGGCATGCCCAATTTTTTCACCTATCTTGGAAACGTCATCACTGCTGCCGGACGCCGACCCGATCCAAAGAAGATCGACGCTATCTCCAAGATGCCAACACCGAAGGATACCGCCCAGGTCCGGTCATTCCTCGGACTCATCAACCACTACGGAGCATTCGTTCCAGAGATGCGCCAGCTCCGTGCACCGCTCGACGCACTACTCAAGAAGGAAGCTCCGTTCAACTGGAACTCCGAATGCGAAGCCGCTTTCGAACGCGCCAAGGAAGTGCTCGCTTCGGACCTGCTCCTGGCTCACTACGACCCCAAGATGCCCATCATCGTCGCGGCCGACGCTTCAGACTATGGGATCGGAGCAGTTATTTCTCATCGCTATCAAGACGGAACAGAGAAAGCTGTCTACCACGCCAGCCGCTCTCTCACCACGGCGGAGAAGAACTATGGTCAAGTGGAAAAAGAAGGTCTGGCGCTCGTCTACGCTGTCCGAAATTCCATCGCTACATCTACGGACGCCACTTCACCTTGCTCACGGACCACAAGCCACTTCTGGCAATATTCGGATCAAAGAAAGGAGTCCCGGCTTACTCCGCGAACCGACTGCAACGATGGAGACTTACAATGCTCGCTTACGATTTCGACATCGAGTACCGAAACACCGCAAGCTTCGGACAAGCCGACGCACTGTCTCGTCTCATCGCCATGCAATCGCCTCCGGAAGAAGACGTCATCATTGCCACTATCGCCAAGGACGTTAACGCTATCTTCGTCGAGGCTGTGAACCGCTTACCGGTTACTGCCAAAGAGGTTGCCCACGCAACATCCGAAGACGACTGTCTCCGTCAAGTGATGGACCATGTCGCCCACAACAGCTGGCCGAAGAAACCATCGCCCACCGTTGCTGGATACGCCCACCTACGCAACGAACTCTCGACACAAGCAAGGATGCCTGCTCTTTGGAAGCCGCATCGTCATCCCGCCATCACTCCAGCCGTCTGTTCTGAAAATGCTACACGAGGGACATCCAGGAGTCAACCGAATGAAAGCCCTCGCTCGTCATATGTCTTCTGGACAAGGATCAACGAGGATTTGGAGAAACTCGTCCGTGCCTGCAACGATTGCCAAGAAGCCGCCAAGTCGCCAGTCAAGAATACGCTCTGTTCTTGGCCTCGTTCGGATGCGCCATGGAGCCGGATCCACATCGACTTTGCCGGCCCAATCGATGGAAAGTCGTACCTGGTGATCGTCGACGCATTCTCCAAATGGCCCGAAGTCATCTCAATGACTTCCACAACCAGTACTGCCACACTCAAGGAACTCCGTCGCCTGTTCGCGCAATTCGGATTTCCTCGCATCATCGTCTCGGATAATGGAACTCAGTTTACCTCCACTGAGTTCCAGGATTTTTGCATCAAGAAAGGAATCGAGCACATCCGGTCGCCGCCCTTCCACCCGCAGTCCAATGGACAAGCTGAGCGCTTCGTGGACACATTCAAGCGCACGCTCGGGAAGCTGAAGAAGCACGGACCGACCGACGAAGCTCTCCAAACATTCCTCTTCACATACCGAAATACGCCTTGCACCGCTTCGCCCAGTGGAAGGAGTCCTGCAGAAAACTTCCTCGGAAGACGCCTTCGCAACACACTGGATCTACTGAGGCCGGACAACAAGAAAAAACTTGTTGTGGACACGAAAATGGAGGAGCAGTTCAACCGTCAGTATGGAGCCAAACCCAGGACGTTCCAATCTGATGATATGGTCTACGCTCGTGACTATCGATCCGGACAACCCAGATGGACACAAGGACGGATCCTATGCCGACGTGGACGCACTCTGTACGACGTTCAAGTCAATGGATTCATCTGGAGACGTCACGCTAACCAGCTCCGCCCACGCGTATCGACGGAAGCTACGCAAGAGCTGATGAGCGCCTTCGACTTATCATTTGACGCATTCGACTTACCATTCAACGCCACATCGCCTCCATCAACGACGACGACTCGTACGACGTCTCAGTCTTCAATGGTCACTGCCACTCCAACAACAACAACAACAACAACAACGACGACGACGACGACTGCAACTGCACCACCAGCGCCTCCTGCCGTTGCCAGACGAAGATCGAGCCGCACCCGACGCCCTACGGAATTTCTTCAGATTGACCCGTACGCTAAATCGTACGGCAGCCGTCAATCTTAGGGGGAGGTGTTGGGGACACCGTGATCTATTACATGTAGGTATTTGATCTGGCATTGTTATAGATCTGCCTGGTTTGACTAGGGAATTTGACCAGGCAGAACAGTATATAAACGGGTCATTTTGTTAGTTGTTATTCTACTGTCTGAAGTAAATATTCTGCTGCTGCTGTATTCTCAAGGACACAACACTTATCATCAACTAGATCACTTATAATTAGAAATATCGAAAGAATTATATATTCTGTCCACTTGATAAAGCAAGTAATAATTATGGTATCATATGCAAAAAAATTATATTTACAAGTGATTATGAAGGAAATGGCGATCAGGTATGTTTGAAGGCAATCTTAAATTCGGTGAAACTAATAACACTTAAAAGGAACAATAATTGCTAAACATGAAATCTTTTGCAATCAAAATCATATTAATAATGATAGTGATGTGATTGCCCCTTATTTGTGCACCCCACACCTGGCTGTTTTCTTCCAGTTGGCACGATGGTTTCCTACTTAGCCTAAAATGCTAGTAGGGCGCTGTATAGTGGGGAAATGGCGAAAGAACGGAGTGAAACGGTCAAAATCCTGCGAAGAAAAAGCCTCCGTTCTCAGTGACTTGTAAATCGATTTCGGACGAGTTTCCCGTAGGCATCTTGCCAATCACCGCTACCGAAGATACGGCTGCATATGTGTACCCAGCGCTGCCCAGGGTCGCGGAATTCTATCCTGCCAGAAGTATTATGCGGTCGTGATGCCTGCATGCATACATGGGTAGGTGTACCCATGTATGCATGCAGCATCACGGCCGCTTCATACCAATCCCTTCGCTTCATAATTTGCTTAGCAAATGAATGAATACGAGCGTCAGGAACGGTCGTCCATTAAATCTTCTATTCTATTAAACAGAAATTTGTGTTGTCGTTTTGTCGGTCGTATGTATGTATGTATGTAAGTATGTATGTTTGTCCGTCCGCAAAATGCTTCACGGGTTCGAGTTCGCTGGAGGCGAAAACGACCGCTAGGCAAACAGGCAAATCGGTGCGGAAGTATCAATCCAATGTTTTGATCGTGATATCGGCCTCCGCTATATAAGACAACCATTCGGTGAGCTCCGAGCCATCTGAGAGCTGGCTGGAGTGACAGCGACGTGTGCTCGTGCGGGGGCAGGGTGGGGTGGGGCCGAGAGGGGGGGCACTGCCCCCCCCTCTGCTTCCTTCCCCTGCGCGTGCTCAGCCCGATCTGAGCATGCGCAAGAGAAGGAAGCAGAGGGACGGTCCGACTGGAACACTGCGGCGTTTTTTCAAGATATGATATAGGTTATGGCACAGGAACCTGTGGGTGACAAGATTTGCTAGCTGATAAGAGTTGAGTGGAAAGGCACATACACTATCTCATAACGCGGAAAGCATCAGTTAGGCGTTAATTTCGCAAATGATATCAGGGAAGGTGGAGAAAGGCGCTGCGGTGACAGGAAATTGAATAACTGATAAATGTCTATAGAGAAAGATTCATTGTCTGTCAGTAAAAACTGAGTCTTCACCACGAAATTATGGAGTTTTAGTGATAACGACATTGATGACGGGTGACAAGCAATTTTATCAGTTGATAAGTAAAGATAAGGGGACATTCTCACGACATCTCTGACCACTATACTGCCAAAAAAAGCCTCTCAGTAAGCAAAATTTTCCCACAGCCATCACTCCTTTGATAGCACTAAAAATGTACTCATCCCACTAGGGGGGGTATATACTTCGCCTGAAACAGGAAGTTTGGAAAAATCAAAAACTTCAATATTGGAACACACTTTATGCGTTCAGTGAGTATTTAACTTCTTTTTTGCTTTTCAACTTTTAATCACTGATGAGAACGAATAACGAAGTAGTTTGTGAGATATTGTTTTTGAGTATGCCTGATGTATGCAAGTATGAGGGGTGCAGATTTCGCTAGGTTACTCTGTCTATTATGATTCAACCACTACTGCGCAATTTGAGCAGCTCATGCAATTCACAAATTCCATCCCGTTATGATGCGCGCCTGGCGAAGCCTGGCCAGCTCGGCGAAGCCGAGCTACAAAGAAGGAGGAGCGCCCCGGCGGCAGCTGGGCGATCCGACTGGCGATCAAAGAGGAACGAAGCTCAAAGAGAACTCTAAGAGAGCTCAGATATTTACGAACGCAGCCTAAATATTGTCATCTGCAGCCATTCATGCAACCTTGGCAGGTGGATTGCATGTTAATGACAAGTTAATCGCCCACCGTTGGTGTTGTGATGCAGGTAATAAAAACGGGATTTGTTCGTCTACTGTGCAACACATATTGATATTCTGTACTTCCTTTATACTTCTAAGATCTACGTATAGAATGGGCGTTATGGCCGAAACCAGCAGGCCTTCTGCAAATATGAGGGGTACAGATTTCGCTAGGTTACTCTGTCTATTATGATTCGCCACTAGCGCGCAATATGAGCAGCTCAGGCAATTAACAAATTCCTTTCCGTGCGCCTGGCGAAGCCAGGCCAGCTCGGCGAAGCCGAGCTGAAAGAAGGCAGGAGAGCTCGTCGTCACGTCCGGGCGATCCGACTTTGGTATTGAAAATATAACGCGACTTAACATATCCTTGTATAAGTTTTGACCTAGAGGCAGACAGAACCCGCGCGATTCATTCGCCTATCACAGATAGTGGCATTAGGGTTGGCATGTAGGCAGAAAAATGTGCTGAGTAATGCGCGTAGTGATAATAAGGAAGAAGAAAGCTAATGCTGAACTGCCTTAGATAGAATACTTCACCGATCCAGTGTGTGCGTACCCAATTCACTCTATCTCCAACACTACACCCTCGTCCATCCGGCTGATCCCCTGTAAGAACTCTAGGACCGCACAAGTGACGGTTTTCATTTTTTTTTCGTCCTGCAGCCCCCTCCCTTTTTCACTGAAAGGCAGCCCATGAAGGCTGAGTCGGAGTCAGCGGAAAAAAAGAGGCGTTAGTGGACCTATATTGCGCTATAGCGCCCCTCCCTTACATTTTTTTTGCCGCGAAACCGGTACAAGGTTGTTCGTCGCGGACCACACTACCCTCCTGATACCATATTTTCAACTTCTATACCTGATCGCGAACCGTGCCTTTAAGAATTGGAAAAACATACGAGGGCGAAGGAACACTATTACCGCGGGCGAGAGGTCAGAGACGAAAGACAGAAAGAACGATTGGGGTAATTGGCACTGAGGCATTCACCAGGGGTGTTTATCTCTGAGTGGGACGGCCGGGTGAGGTCACTCCAAATGTTATGGGTTCAATGCCCTTGACAGGCACTCTCGAGCCCCGAAAGGAGCACGATCCTGCGGCCCACTCAGAAAAGTATTATATTTCACCTATCAGATAGTCGCTTAATGTTTTTCCAGTTAGGCTTTAAGTGGAAGGATTATAGTTCCTCCGACTAATTGATGTTCGAAATTAGACGCATTGAGTAATTTAGTGGAAGCATGAGCGTACCTTCGTTAACAGCCTTTCTCAGATTACTGCCAGTGAAAAGCGAATTAGAGCGAATTCGATCTGAAAGGATATGTGTGTATGAACACAATGGTAGAGAACATCTCAGGAAATTCACCTTTCACATCTGGAGCAGTCCATGGTGTCTCTCCATCAAGCAGCAAATGTTGAAGTATAATTCCCTTGAGGTTGTTCGTCTTCACATATTCACAGAGACCCCTTAGCAGAGGAGTAGGCGTGGCTGCCATACCATGCACAAAAATGTTGTCACCTGAAAGCTGCGCCTTGACAAGTGAGAAAGCAGTTGCTCTATTGCTCCTATATCAGTCTGCATCCCAATCGCGATTCTAAGCGAACCAAAGTTAACTACGATGTCAACGAACACTAAAGCTTCTTCGTATTAATTTATCATCGAAAACGTCGGTGGTACGATAGACTACTCAAGAACCTGGTTCAGTCCAATATAAGCCGCTTTCTTGTAGTATGAGTAACACTCGCTCAATCCAGCAAGTTACTTG